AGAGTTTCGGGGAAATAAAGTCACCCTGTCTTACACCTCTCTGCAGTTGGATAGGTTTCGTACTCTGGTTCTATACTCGGATAGTCATCGTAGCCCTACTGTGCAAACACTTCAGCACTTCGATATACCGACAGTAAACTTAGCACCGCTGAAGAGACTGTAGCACCGCCCAAATTTCGACGGAATCAAAGGCTTTCTCATAGTCCACATACACCAGACAAAGTGGCAGATTTTACTCCTCGAACTTCTGTACAATTTGCCGAAGGGTATGTATGTGGTCTATGGTACTAAAGCCTTTTTGGAAACCGGCTTGTACGGGAGGCTGGAAGGCGTCGAGTCTGCGTGCGAGACGAATCGTAATGACTCTCGAAAACAGCACGTAGACGCGGCTCAGGGATATTGGTCTGTAGTTCTTCAAGAGGGTGTTGTCACCTTTCTTGAAGAACAAGACCACCCACTTCTGCTCCACAACTCCGGAGTGGTGCCACCATGGAGGACGGAATTAAAGAGCCTGTGAAAGACTCCAAGTACCGGTTTTCCATCCGCTTTCAGAAGCTCCGCTGTAATTCCATCCTCGCCCGGGGACTTGCCGTTTTTAATTCTAATCTCGCTCAGACTGACGTCCGGGATATCATCGGAATAGTGTCGGATAAGAGTTGCTCGTGGATGCTCGTGCTCGTTACTCACACTTGCGTGTGGCTCCAATGATGATGTGTACAGCTGCCCATAGAACCTCTCAATCTCACTCAGAATCTCAGGTGTCCCGGAAACGATGCTGCCACACTCAGTCTTCAGCTTTGACAGTTGGCTCTTACTAGCAGACAGATTTATTTATTTATTTATTTTTATGTAATGGAAAACCAACAGCTTACAAATCTTAAATAAATAACATGTTAAATTTACAAGAAACCAATAACAGGTTCTCACTAATAGAAATACACTAACATAATCTTTCGTCGTTTAAAGGTCATATCACAATTATGAGCAACAAATGGAGTCTAATTTAAATGCACAACATCATACATTTAATAAGTGAAACTAATAATAATAGCCATAAAGGAAAATAAAAGCAGGGTAAACGCACAACATAATTGTTCTTAAAGTAAATTAAATTACGACACAAAAAAATCTCGACTTAATGCCCGCCTTGCCGATACATAGCTAGTATTAAATAAATCAAAATCATGCTTTTTGCACAGATTATTAAAAATATTACTAGACCGATATAAGAAAGTATTTTTTCCGTAATTAGTTGATGAAGCTGGTAAGTAGAGTAATGCATTCGTTCTAAGGTTAACCGTAGGTGTTCTCAGTGATATTTGCGATAGCAGATCTAAGCAGTCGACATTGCCAGTACAAATTTTCAATAAAAATACAATGTCAGCAATCTCCCGACGCTTTATCAAAGGTAACAGATGATGTTGTTTACATAAGGATATATAGTCTTCTGAACGGTATTTTCTATGGGTACGATAGCAAAGATATCGTATGAATTTACGTTGAATACTTTCAATCCGTGAAATGTATGTATCATACATTGGATTCCAGACTTGCGAAGCGTATTCAAGCGTACTGCAGACGTAAGTGCAGTACAATATTTTAATTGTGTTAATGTTATTAAACTCCTTAGCAGTACGCATGACAAAACCTAACGCCTTAGATGCAGTAGCTATGATATTGTCAACATGGTTGTTGAATAATAACTTAGAGTCGTAGAAAATCCCTAGATCACGTACAACTGATTGTTTTTGTAGCTTCTGACCTTTAAGGTGATAGCCGAAATGAATTAAGTTTCGCTTGCGTGAATATGTAATGAGGGTACATTTTGACGGATTTAGTTCAAGCTTATTAATAGTACAGTATTCCTCCAATCTTAGTAGATCTTCCTGCATTAATTCAGCATCAGCCTGCGATGAGATTGTGGAAAATATTTTCATATCATCAGCAAAACACAGTAGGTGTGATGATTTAAAACAGGTTTCAATATCGTTAACAAATATCAGAAATAGCAACGATCCCAGTAAGGACCCCTGTGGTACGCCACTTGGTATTGACACCCAACCTGATATATAATTGTTAACAACTACAGCTTGCGAGCGATTGTCGATATAAGAGGAGAACCACCGCAGTAGGTCTCCACAGATATCAACATACTGAAGTTTTTTTAAAAGCAAATTATGTTCAATCCGGTCGAAAGCTTTACTATAATCTGTATAAACAACGTCAACTTGATGACCATCATCCATGGCTTTAGTCAAGAATGAATTAAAAAGCACCAAGTTGGAAACGGTGGATCTACCCTTGAAGAAACCATGTTGAGACTGGCTTATGCTTTGTTTGAGTAACGGATACACCTGCTCATAAACCAACTTTTCAAAGACTTTGGAAATAATGCACAACTTAGAAATTGGCCTATAATTAGTGACATCAGTCCTAAGACCCTTCTTGTGCACAGGGGGTGATATATGCATGTTTCCAAATATTAGGAACTGAGCATTCATCCAACGATTTACGAAATAGCAAACTTATTGGTAGTGCTATCGTCTCTGCACAATTAATAAGAAAAATGGCTGGTAGGTTATCAGGTCCAGCAGATTTAGATGGATCAAGAGCGTTCAACAACCGACATACGTATTTAGGGTTAACTTCTATTTTTGATATATTTGCGGTTGATGTTGATGTCACATTAGAAATATTTGGAAGAGTTGATTGAGCGCCCTGGTATAAAAAATTTGACATGAAATAAGTTGCAAACGCGTCACTAATAGACTGACCTGTGTTGTAGATTACACTACCTAAATTGAGACTACGGGGAATAGAGTGAGTTTTTGATTTACGTTTAACATATGACCAGAAATATTTAGGATTTTTTTCTATTAAACTTTCAACGGTTGATATGTAGTTTTTATGACACATATCTTCCAAATATTTGACACGAGTGCGTAGTATTTTATACGATTCTTCATCGTATCTATTACCGTAGGTCCTGAATTTACGAAGATACTTATGTTTTTCTTTAATTGCTCTCTTTAATGCTGGGGAATACCATGTATGGTAGGACTCCGGTTTAATTATTTTTGATCGGTATATGCTTATCTCTTAATTTCTCAAATATTTCATAAAAATATTTAATGGAATCATTAAGAGATTTCGAAGAGAATTCGGTTCGCCAATCAATTTCAGCATATTTTTCATTAATTAATTGATAATCACCTTTATTAAATAGAAACTTGATAAACGGAGCCGTTTTAAGTATGCTTAGCTCATAAAAACGTACTTCCATTACTAACGCTCCGTGAAAGGGATCTACTGGTACCAAAGAGTCGTCACTACAATCGGATACAGCTACATCACAGTTAGATAATACAAGGTCGAGTGTCTTACCATATTTATTGCGCATACCATTATATTGGCAAAAATTAAGCGCATTAATTTCGTCAACTAGTAACCGTTCGTGGTGCGCACTATAGTTAATTGACTCATAGCAATAATTACAAGAGTTGGAACAGTTGGAAGCGGGTATCCATTTTATGTTGCTTAAATTAAAGTCACCCACTATAAGATACTTATCCGTGGGATATTTTAAGACTGTATCATTTAATTTCGTAAAAAAATTCAATAACTGGTCCGAAAAACTAAAGCTTCCATGTAAATTACATAAATATAAACCACAAATATGCAGAGAAGTAGGCATTTTACTATCGCTTTTTCTAACAGTAAGCGTGAGCCAAAAATCTTCAGCACTGGAGTTAAAGGTCGGTTGAGGTACAACAGACAGCTCTCTGCGTGTCGCAATGAGCACACCGCCCCCGTACACTTGGCCCGTCCCAGCGTAATCACGATCGCGGCGCCACACAACATAACGACTATCAAATAACTCAGAGTTCGAAATACCATCCAGAAGCCACGTTTCAGTTATAACAATGACATCATATTTAGACAGGCAGGTTTTACGGTAGAAATCAGATGTTTTAGTACGCAGACCTCGTGCATTCTGGTAATAAATATTTAATAAAGAACTATTCGAGTTATTAATTAAATTGTTAGCCATTATGAATCATTAAATTAAAAATAAAATACAAACAAAGTATAATTAAAATTATAAAACTAGATAATATGCAGAAAGTCTTAAAATAATAACTAAAATTCCTTATTTTGATTTTAATTACAAACTCGAATAGTAAATCAACGTCGTAAATAATTATCACGTTAAAACAGTGCTGTAATAGTAAATATGTAATTAAAAAAATAATAATAGTATCAATATCATTCAATAACATAATGCAAAAAAGAATAGCGAGAAAGCCAAGTCTAGTATTAAAAGAATTGATTAAAGTGTAACGAAAAAGCAGGCTTTTAAGAACATAAATATTGATGCAACGAAAAATTAAAGTTATTAAACTAAGCGGAATGCAGAAAGTCTTAAAATAACTACTTAAAAATATATTATTTGTATTAGGGTTAATAGCATGATAAAAAAGCAAACCAACACAAAAAAAAAATTAATAAATCAAAACATTTCAGCAGCGTGGAAAAAATACAATCAATATCATTCTGTACCAAATAGGATATAAGAGCGAAAAGAGCGAGCACAATATGCATACGGTTACCTAAAATATATCGATAAGGCGGGATAAGAAACAATTATGCGTCAAGCAATATATCGAACAAAGAGTTTTAGAAAAACACACAGAATAACAACAGCGATACATCGGCAAAGCAGGGGTTGTAAACATTTCATTACAAATGTAATTTACGGCAGAAGCAATTAAGCAATACGTAATTAAGCTGAGACATAAGCAAATTTCACCACCTACCTAGTACTCACTGTTTTATTCCTTTACACCTTTGGTTGCCTGGAAGAGATCGCTATGTAGCGATAAGGCCGCCAAATTGTACATGTAATCTGCTCTCTGTTATGTTCTTTGTAAATTTGTTTGTAGTGTGCAATAAAGTATATTCATTCATTCATTCATTCAAATTATACGTTTGGAGACAGATTAAGCTAACTTGTTTAAATCACTATCGCTTGTGATAATCATAACCCTCGTAGTATCGTTTTTTCTAACATGAATTTTACAATACTTTACCCAAACGTATTGATAATCCTTATCTTTACAAATAGCTTTGGTTCTAGTTAACAAGGCCTTAGAATACGGTGTTAAGTGATCATTAACATACAGCCGTTGTTCGTTACCCACAAACCCAATGTCTTTCGCTGTCATAAACTTCTTACTTCGCGCCGAAGCGACAAATTCTTCCTTTATGTAGCGGTTGATGAAGTTGACATTAATAGATTTATCCTTACCAAAATGTGTCGGCACCCTTGCTATGTAATTTATTTGATGTTTCGGGATCGTGTAACCAACCTGCGTGCATATGTTATCTACCATTGAAAAAAAGTTTTCATCTCTCTTTAGGGGGAACTCCCTTTATCTCGACATTGTTAAGTCGCGACCATTGTTCCTTAGTAGCTAACTCCTTTTTCAGGGCCACTATTTCAGAGAGGGTCGAGTCAAATGTTACTTTTATTTGCTCCATATTAGGTATCTTGGATTCAAGATCAGTTATTCTGGACTCACAGTTAATTATTTTTTCACTATTAAATTCACAGGATGATTTTAGCTCTCCTATTTCACGCCTAATGCTTTTCACGTCATTAATGAGTGCTGGTAGACAGTGAAGCTGTAGTTTTAAGTCACGTATTTCCTACAGAACCAAATCAATCGAAGCACCCCCATCATTGATAGGGATCGACGGCGACGTGGTTGGCGTTGGCGTTGAAGGGGCGCATAGAATGTTCCGACAATAAGAACACCTCCACGCAGCCCTTCGGTCAGCACCCAACTTTCTATACCAGGCTTCGGTTATATTAGAGCAGCCAAAACAAAGTTGCTTTTTACACGATCCACACTTAACGCCATCATTAAAATCCGTATTGCATAGTGCACAATGCATTATTATAAAGAAATACTTTCGACGTAAACAAATAAGATATTCTAATGTAAAAAAAGCTGATAGAAAATGAACTAAGCGGAACGTGTTTGTAATTCCTGATGCTCAGAACTCGTTTCAATTAATACTGACACGTGCTATCTCTAAGTGTAAACAACGACAACCGATTTAATTTGCCATAGTTGCCACGCTTGGCGAGCGGGTTGGCAACCGCAGTTTTTTATTATATTAGTGTTGTTATTAGGAAGATGCTGCTGCCCATCTCCTGTCTGTCTCCCTCTGTCGCCTCTTACGACACCCACGGGAAGATATGGGGTAGTGGATATTCTCAACCACTACACGGCATAATATAATATAAGAAAATACGATAAGCATATCATTAGCGATTCGTTGCAAATATATGGTACACATTTCGATGATGTTTTTCTCAAAAATCCTATAAACAAAAACGGTTGCCGCTTTACCAACAATACAATGCTACGCTAGAGTAAAACGTTTTACCCTCCATCTAACCAGTATTTTATAGACACTGCATATATTATACTGACATACGACCGTTCTCCGGCGTGTATCTTCATGATTTCCTGTAACATACACTATTAATCACTACATCTACCGCTTGTCTACATGAATAGGTACACTGTCCCTATCTTTGGATTTTTACACACACATATGCAAGGCAATTACGTTTGACCTCATGCAAACTAACACTGGCTAAGGTGTTTTTTTGATTAGCCTTCATTTCATATGACAACGTAGACCGAACATCTGGCTCTCTACCCGTCATTTCATATGACAATACCCAACTCTGTGAGTGACAGCGTCCCTTCGAGCAACCGTCATCAAATATGGCAACATGGACCAGACAACTGGCTCTTTCCACTAAGCACATACAGAGTCACAGCTCTTTGTACAGTTTGAACGGCACTATTAGCATCGACAGAAGATATACGCTTTAACAACATACTCTTTTTTAAATATACTAACTTCCTCAATCATAAAATAATTGAAAGAATGCGTCCTTTGGACCACGAATGGACCGGACTAGACTAGTATGTACCTATGACCAACCGCTCGGGTCTGGTCCGGACGATATTGTTATCTAAACTCTGTTCGACAAAGCTGACTGAACCCGACGTTTGCGTTTCTTCGACCACGCATGGACCGGACGGCACTGTCCCTTCGACCAGTGTAACTCCACAATCCGTAAGCCTGGACTAGATAAATATGTGCTTTCAACCAGCTGCGCGGCATGGCCCGGTACGACATTGTCCCCTCGACCAACTTCACACAAATACAATCCTCAACATAAAACATTCATAAGCCTGGAATTAATGAATCTGTCCTTTCGACCAGCCGAACGTGGTATGGCCCAGTACGATATTGTCACGTCGACTATATTTACACATATCCATACTCTCACAAGAATTCATTTCAAACAAGCAATTTTGTCGACCACATAACACTCGGAGCTTAAAAGAGCCTACTCCTTTCTTAAAAACCGGCAATGCACCTGTAATTTCGCTGGTGTTGCAGTTGGTCATGAGCGGTGGTAGTCACTTTCCATCAGGTGAGCCGTATGTGCGTTTGACTCATCGACTCTTTAGTACACGAAAAGGACACTTATTCTCTCAATTCATAGCATGTTAAAGTTAAACATTTCTTAGGTACATCGCTAAATATTTCGAAATTTAAAATGTAACCCGTGTAAATCATATTTCGTATGAACATAAAACTGAGGTAACAAATCCAGTGACCAGTGTAACTCCGCTTGTGAATGTGTAGCTACAACCAGTCGCGTGGCATGGCCCGGTACGATATTGTCCCATCGACAAGCTGCACACGATTCCAATCCTCAACATCAAATATTCATAAACCTGGACCGAACGGATGTGTCTTTTGGACCAGCCGCGCGCGGCATGTCCCGGTACGATATTGTCCCGTCGATAGCTTTACACAAATCCTTACTTTCACAGTAATTCAATCCAAACAAGTAGTTTTGTCGACCACATAAGACTCAGAGCGAACTACTACACTCATCACCTCTTTAAAGCATAAAAATGCCACCAATTCTCTCACTTTATTGCGTGTTGAAATAAAACATTTCCTCAGTACATAGCTAAATATTTCGAACTTTAAAACGTATCCCACATAAATCTTATTTCGCATGAAGTTAAAACTGAGATAACAAATCCAGTAATAACTTCATCAGAAATAATTGTTTTAGGAATTTAGCGAATGAGGGAAAATAAGCGAAGACCAGTTTCAGACGCTGTGTCTTTACTTATGGTTTCCTTACTAAGGGAATGCCATATTAGCGAACTTAAGTTCGGTAAGACAATTAGCTACACGATCTTTCAAAGCGATTGTCAGTTAGATTACAGTGAGTCAGCCTTAGTAACTACACGTCCAAGCACTCATCCTAAGCGCGGGCAGAAATGCCATGACTATTTGAGCTATGAAATCTCCTCGAAGAAGTTCAACAGTCTTCAGGTGCTGCGAGTAACTTCATGGAGTGGACCCGGCGTACCGAGACCGTGTTTTAGTCCTATATGTATCGATCTTTGGACATGCCAATAACACGCGCGCCACCGTTTCCTCCTTCCACATACATGTCCTATGCAGGGGACTATCTGTAACATATATATTAAATTAAAGTTTGTTATAGGAGCCATGCCGTGTAATAGCACTTGTTACTATCCTGAACAGTACCGATTCAACTCTTTGTCTACTTAGTACAAATTTTGTGCAACTTTTGTGCTGGCGATTGGTTGTTACTTTAAACGATTGTTAATGCCATAACAAATCAAATAATTTTCTATCTTAGCGTTTATATTGTGCAATGATTTTTACTACATTACACGATCCCTCTATATCCCTGCGCCGATGGCTAGCCCCGTTGAGGTAGGCCGCCGTGGCCTAAATTCGGTCTGGAGGACATTTCCCATATCTTCATCACTTCTTATGATACCATTTGCTGTGGAGACAACGACTATCAGGTAGTTCCAAGTCGACCAATAGTGGTTCCTACGAGACAAAGGCCTTCTACCACATCATCAGATGTTCATTGCTCCTGAATAACTCACAAGTAACTCGCAGTAATATACACGCACCAGTTCGTGCAATACAACCAATAGTAATAACAAGTGACTTAGAGTATGCACGCTTGGAAAAACCTTTTCTTCAATACTTAGTTCTACTTTAACTAGATTAATTGAAAGGAAACTATACTCACTATCACAAAATAAAATATCCAAGAGCCGTAACCCTTTTTAATCGTTTGTTACGCAACAAAAATATTTATTAAATATGTTTTGCTTAGTATTAATGCTGCGATTTTATCATATTGTATTGGATATATAGTGTTGCTTATTTATTTTGTGGATTACTATTATTGGCTTTATCTGTTGTCATCCTGAATAAAATAAACAATTAAAAAATTTATATTACACTTAATTTTATTTTTACGAGCACTCATCTTTATGTTGAGTTATCCCTGTTACATCTCAACAGCAACTAAACTAGACCTCTACTATCACCATAAAACAGCTAGAGGCAAGAAATCTGTTGTAAGTAATTAGAGTCACGGATAAAAAGACTCCGCCCCAGTTATTAATTTATAGATCGTTTACCTGTTGTATGTTTTAAAAATAGCAATGTATTTTAGTGTAAAGGAACATAAATACTAATATGTAAATTATATTACGGTTGAAAACAAAACTTTATGTATATTGTCAAAATAGCTGGTGCATTCAGAATAACAAAGCGCAAATACATATAACGTCGACGCTATGTAAACTCCTTGTTTAAATGTTTCCGGCGCAATTGTGAAGTCTCACAATAAAGAAACTTACTACGAACATGCTTAAGAATTTAGACTTAGTAGCGAAGACGGTTTGCTAAAAACTTAAATATGCTTCATGAAATTAGTACTCAACAGTATTGCTCCTTAATGTAATTACTTGCTTTCTTGAATGCTATATTTTCAAGCGGCAAAAGTTATAATAGACACTACCTATAATGTTATTGTTATTATTATGATAACCCACAAAATTAATAACCTACTGACCGAATTTTAATCATTGCAGACAGTCTCTATGGAGATTAGCCATTTACGCAGGAAAGGATTATATTATTATATTCCCCCACACAAAGTCCGATGTTACGGTAATCTGACAAGGCAGGAAAGAAATCAGGCGCTGGATCAACGTCGCCTAATGCTTTCTGCAAACCTTCTTTTTCTTTTTCTTTCTCATCATAAGGCCGGTAGTCCCCTCCTACTGTGAACAGTTTGTTTCATAAGTAAAACATGTAATGGTATAATGCCCTCTACTAAAGGTCATGATAATAAACCAAAAAATGGTATCAAGTGTACTAATATTAGCTCAAAAAATAATAGGAAGATTTTTTTTTACAGAATAAGAGTGACAAACGAGCT